TAGATAATGACCTGTTATTAGAAATAAGTCATTTCAAAACTTGAAAATAGAATGTGGAACTGCACTGTTCAGGATGATAGCCACAAGCCACAAGAGGTTTTTTAATGAAAATTAATTAAAATTAAAAATCACATTGTTTGGAACAGTGAAAATTTATATTTTCATCATTACAGAGCATTATTCTAGCTGGTGTTAACCTAGAGCCTATAAAAGAGTTGACATATTTCAAAACATTTGATGAAATAGATTCACTTAACTCTCTTCTATGGAAGGATGTTTGTTTCAGTGAAGAATTTAAGCAACCTGAAATTCCTTGTGCTGTCTACGTTTGTTTTGGTTGTGGCACCCTCTACTGTTTCAGCCTTGTTATAGCAATAAAATCATGAAGGAGTCTGCCATTTGAATCCCAAAATGTTGAAATAATTCAGAAAATTCTGTATGCATATGCGTTTTTCTAAAAGAGAGAATGTAGTTCTCACCTATCCTCAAAAAAAAATCAGGAAGGATTCTCTGATAAGGGTCTTTAGGGTGGTCAGAACTCCTAGTGTAACCAATAAGCATTATTTCTTCCAATACCTTTGTAAAAACATGTAACTTGTGGCATTTAAAAAAAAAAGATTTATGTATTTGAAAGGCAGAGTCAGAGAGGGAGATTGTCACTCTCCAAATGGCCACAGTGGCTGGGGTTGGGCCAGGCCAGGGTGAAGCCAGGAGCCAGGAGCTTCATCCAGGACTGCCATGTGGGTGACAGGGCTCAAGAAATGGGCCATCTTCCACTGCTTTCCCAGGTGCGTTAGTAGGGAGCTAGATCAAAAGTGCAGTAGCCAGGACTCAAAGTGGCATCCATGTGGGATGTTGGCATTGCAGGCAGTGGCTTAACTGCACCCCAACTTTTGTCATTTCTGTTTTGCCTGTCTTTGGGAATAAAACAATAAGTTGCACTTACATAACACTCACTCTCTATCATGGCTCATTTTAAGCCCTTTCACAAACAGTAACTCATTTGGCCCTCACAAATAAGTCTATGAAGTAGATTCCATTATTTACCCTCATCTGACTGACAGATGGTAACATTAAAGCACAGAAGTAAAACAAAACAAAACAAAAATCTCGTCTAAGGTTGCTTGTAAAGCAACAGAATAGGTACTTGAATCCAGTATTCTGGCTCCAGAGCGCCCCCCCATATATATACATTATATAGATATTATGTATTATATATAATGTTTATACTATATATTTTATTATATATGTATTATATAACAGTATATGATATATTGTGTATATTACATATTATATATCTGTATTATATATACAATGTTTATTGATTTACTTTCATCTACTTGAAAGACAGAATAAGAGAGGGAAAGATGGGTGGGGGCCGGGGAGAATCTTCCATCTGCTGATTTACCCCCCAAATGCCTCACAGCCGAGACTGGTCCAGGCTGAAACCAGGAACTGAGAACTTCATCCAGGTCTCCCTTGTAGGTGGCCGGGGCCCAAGGAATTGGGCGGTCATCTGCTTCCCCAGATGCAGCAGCAGGCAGCTGGGTCAGAAGTGGAGGAGTCAGGACTGAAACTGGCACTCACACATGGGGTGCCGGCAAACCAGGCGGCAGCCCCAGTGTAGTCTTAACTCTCCTGATGGCGAAGTGAGGATCTGTGTTGAAGCAGGAGTGGGGTGGGAGGGAGAGGAGACTCTCCAGACCCTCGTAAATTGTGTCCTGTGCTCTATAGGAAGAAAGGGTGACTGAATCGCTCTGTCCACACTAGAGTTATAATCAGTACTGTGTGTCAGTAATTTGTCATGGATCTACATACAGTAGTATCCACCAACCTTTTTTGTTTTTGTTTCCACAGTTTTAGTCATCCAACGTCTAAAAATATTAAATGGAAAATTCTAGACACAAACAGTTCATCAGTTTTAATTTGTACACCATTCCGGGTGTCTTGATGAGCTTGCGTGCTGCACTGCTCTGTGCATCATCTCAATCCAGTGTGTGCCTGCTGTGTGCACTGCCTGCCCTTTAGTCACTTGGTAGCCATCTCAGATGTCAGAGGGACTCTCACGGTATGGCAGTGCTGTGCTCAGGTAACCCTGTTTTACTTAATGATGTCCCCAAAGTGTGAGACTACTGATGCTGGTAATTCGGATGTGCCAAAGAGGTGCCATGAAGGACTTAATTGAATTGAAAAGATAAATGTTTATGCATAGGGAAAAGCATATTATATAGAGAGTTCTGTATTATCTGTGGTTTCAAGCATCTCCCAGGGGTGGGAGGGTCTTGGAACATAGCTCCCTTGGATAACACGGAACTGTTATTGTCTGCCAAGAAATTAGAGTGGCAGATGAAGGTCAAAGCTGCCATTGTCATATTTGGTTTGTACAAATACCTAGTCTGTTCGTTGAATAAATGACACATCTTTCCATGGCTGTCGTTGTGCTTTCTATAAGGAGACACATATAATATCATGGTAATACTGATTTTTCAAGTTTGTAGGAGCTTCAGACCTGTTAAGCACCTTAAAGAGTCGCATAACTCACAGATAAATATTTGTATCTCCTACTTTCTGTCCTTTTTTTTTTTTTTTTTTTTTTTTTTGACAGGCAGAGTGGACAGTGAGAGAGAGAGACAGAGAGAAAGGTCTTCCTTTGCCATTGGTTCACCCTCCAATGGCCGCCGCGCTGCAGCCGGCGCACCGCGCTGAGCCCATGGCAGGAGCCAGGAGCCAGGTGCTTTTCCTGGTCTCCCATGGGGTGCAGGGCCCAAGCACCTGGGCCATCCTCCACTGCACTCCCTGGCCACAGCAGAGGGCTGGCCTGGAAGAGGGGCAACCGGGACAGAATCCAGTGCCCCGACCGGGACTAGAACCCGGTGTGCCGGCGCCGCAAGGCGGAGGATTAGCCTAGTGAGCCGCGGCGCCGGCACTTTCTGTCTTTACTCCTCATTTCTTTTTTTTTTTTTTCCTAAGATTTATTTATTTATTTGAAAGGCAGAGTTACAGAGAGGCAGAGGCAGAGAGAAAGGGAGAGGGAGAGAGAGAAAGAGAGAATGTTCCGTCCGCTGGTTCACTCCCCGGACTACTCCCCAGGTGGCCACAATGGCTGGAGCTGTGCCTGTCAGGAGCCAGGAGCCCGGAGCTTCTGAGTCTCCCATGTGGGTGCAGGGGCCCGCAGACTTAGGCCAGGCCATCTTCTGCTGCTTTCCCAGGCCACAGCAGAGCAGGATTGGAAGTGGAGTAGTAGGGACTCGAACTGGCACCCATATGAGATGCCTATGCTACAGGTGGCAGTTTTACCCGCTACACCATGGTGCTGCACCCCCCCCCCCCAATTATTAGCATGTCTCATTTCTCTCAGTGAGGCATTTTATACACTTTTTTTTTTTTTTAAGATTTATTTGAAAAGCAAAGTTAGAGAGAGGAAAAGACAGTTCTTTCATTCGTTGGCTCACTCCCTGAATGGCTGCAGCAGCTGTGGCTGGAGCTTCACCTGGGTCTCCCACATGGGTGGCAGGGACTCGAGTACTTGGGCCGTCTTCCACTGCTTTCCCAGGTATAAGCAGAGTGGCCTGGACTTGAACCAGCACTCATGGGATGCCAGCATCGCAGCCAGTGACTTTAACCCTCTGTGCTAACTTTTTAGTGATTTGTTAAACTGAAATTTTGTACTGAACTTGATCAGTACAAAGTTCTGGAAACAGAAACCCTAGCGGTGGGCCTGTAAAATTGACCTTACAGTGACTTCCTCACTGAAGGTGTAAGTCCAGACTGCTGCTTCCCACACTCCTGAGGAGCTACTTACAAGGTCACACACTCTGCTCCCTTTGTATCAGTAAGCGCCTAGAGAACCGCATGGAGCAATTTAATTCTGGGATTGGCTACGCAGGTGTTGCAAGACAAAGATCAAGAAGTAGATTCCCAAGTAATGCAGACAGGAAGCGCAGTTATCACCCTGGGGCTGGGGGAATGGAAGCAAAGCACCTAGGAGGTCGGGGCCCCCACCCAGCTGGGAGTCTGCCCTCAGCCGCCAAAAGAGCAGGGGCACAGCTGGCGTTGGGAGGCACAGCTGTCCCCTTGCTGGAGCTTTGTGGAGTGAAAGAAGCCGGGACGTCTCTTCTCTCCTAATCTTCCTGTACAGTAACCTAACCGGAAGCTGACTGGCAAGTCTGCAAAACATGATTGGCCGATCCAGCCCAGGACTTGGATATAGAGCAGCTCAGAACAGGTACAGTGGCTCTGCTGTATCCAGCGGTTCCCCATTCATGGATTCAATTAATACAACTGTGGATTGAAAATATTCAGGGAAAAAGGTGACATCAGTGCTGAACAGGCTTCTAGTCTTTATTCCCTGAACAATACAGGATAGCAACTATTTACCTTGTACTTGCTATTGTGAGCAATCCAGAGATGATTCGCTGTGTGTGAGAGGATGTGTGTATAACGTAGGTGCAGCCTGTCATTGGCTTCAGGCTTTTTCATTCTGTTGTAGAATTTCTGACCTGGTTACGCAGCTTAGACTCTGGGTACATCTAAGAGTATAAGTTGAGCCTCTCAGTGTTCCTGTCCCTGGTTGGACTAAAAGACACCAGCTTGATCTGAGATCTTCCCTTAGGCGCTTCTTGATGTTTTTCTTTTGATATGATAATATTATTGATTAGGCTAATGGTTTCTTTTACATTTAGTCATACTTTGATTAGATTTCCTGGCCTGTTCTTCCTGCTTTGACTTTTAAAATATTCTATACTTAATCTCCTCCATTGTGGATTTGACTACGTTTGACTCCCTTGGACATTCCCTCCAAATTCTCATAGCTCTGTAGGTATTATGGACCGCAGCTGGTAGGGGACTCTGGGGACAGTGCAATCTTTCTCTGTGCTTCCTTCCATTGGCTCTCCATCGCAACCATTCTGACCTGGAAAGGCGATGGCAGGAACTCCCCTGCCCCAAATTACCCCACCCCCCCAGCCCTTGTAGCTTACATAATACAGAAGGACTTGTGCATAATGCTCCTCCGGTGATAGCTGGGCTAAGCAAGAGATTCTAGTGAAACTGTTACCATGTTACTCCTCGGGGGAACGATTTTTTAAAAATGAAGTATTGATGAATCTGCTCAGTACTGTCGGCTTTGGGGAGTAGGCAGATGCGCCCTTTGACTTGGCTGTAGTGTTGAGAGGCGCAGGTTTGTTAGCTGAGAAACCTGTCTTTGAGATGAATGTCTCCCTTGAAGATGAAGGAGCTGAGGTCCAGTGCTTGTGAAACTGATCAGCAAGGAGAGTCATAAAGATAGCGGGTCCGGGCCTCTGCAGAGCGCTCCTCATTTTATCTGGATCGGCCCCTTTAATCCTCACATCATCCTTTCCAGGATAGGCGCAGTTGTTATTTTTCTTTCACTAGAATTGCGGCTTAAAGGTTAAGTAACTTGCCCAGAGGTTCTGGATATCTGTGTAATAGTCTGTGCAGTTTTTAAAAATACAGTTGATCTGTCTTCACTTCTTAGCTATTCCTGTCAGTTTGGCTGTCCAGAGGCTGAGTCCGCGCGGGTGGAAGCCGACCTGCTGCACTAACACTGCCTTAGCGGGAGAGGGCTGTGAGGCTCTGTCAGTCGTCTCTGTCTTTAGGCACCCTGCCTTCGACGACTTTTTTTTTTTTAAACGTTTATACTTGCTCTTTTTTTCTTTTTGTTTGTTTTGTTTTTAAGGACTTGTTTATTTGAAAGGCAGAGTTACAGAGAGGCAGATGCAGAAGGTGGGGTGGGGGGGTCTTCCATCCACTGGTTCATTCCCAAAATGGCTGCAACTGCCGGAGCTGGGCCGATTTGAAGCCAGGAGCCAGGAGCTTCCTCTGGGTCTCCCATGCGGGTGCAAGGGCCCAAGCACTTGGGCCATCCTCCATGCTGTCCTAGGCCATAGCAGGGAGCTGGGTCAGAAGTGGAGCAGCTGGGACGCGAACCAGCGCCCATATGGGATGCCGGGGCCGCAGGCGGTGACTTTACTCGCTATGGCAGAGGGCTGTTACCTCTCAATGATTTTATGAAAACATTGAAAGCATACTTCACAGATATCCCCCTCTAGTTCAAAAACGTTGAAAGTAACTTTGTCTTTGCTTAGTATAGAACGCTGCCTGTAAATGGTTAGAGATGCTGAGGCAAGGGCTGGGGAGGGCGGTGGGAAGCGGTGAGAACTGGGCAGAAGTGACAAGCCTGTGTGACAGACAGCCCTATTGATTTATGCTGTGAATCGCATTCTGGAGCAGAGAATTGAAATCCATTATGCCAAGTGCATAGCATACAAATCCCTTTGAAAAGCAGTTAGATGCCATGTAATCCCAAATCATTTAAAAGCGATTTTGAAGTACCCAGAATTCTAAATTGTCTTAAGCATTTTGTTTCTTAGACTAGAAAAACAATGAAATGGATGGCAAGATAGCATTTTAATGGAATCTTCCTCTCATATATTATATTTAATTTTAGTGTGTTAAGTTGAATTTTAGATAAGTACAGATTTGGAGTTATGTTCTCTTGAGTATTCTGAAACTCACACCAAACGTAGGATATGAAAGAAACCTTAGGACAGCTTATCTGATACTTATCTTGAAAAAACCATTTTGGGGCCTGCGCCGTGATGCAGCGGGTTAAAGCCCCAGCTTGCAGCGCAAGCATCCCACATGGGGCCCATTCGAGTCCAGCTCTCTGCTAATGTGCCTTGGAAAGCAGTAGAAGATGGCCCAAATGCTTGGACCCCTGCACTCACGTGGGGGACCTGGAGGAAGCTCCTGGCTGTGGGTCGACTCAGCTCTGGCTGTTGTGGCCATTTGGAGAATGAACTCAAATGGAATTTCTGGCTTCTGACTTCTTTTTGGCCCAAACCTGGCTGTTGTAGCCATTTGGAGAGTGAACCAGTGGATAGAAGATCTCTCTCTGTCTCTGTTGTTCTGCCTTTCAAATAAATAAATAAGTAAATCTTTTTTTTTTTTTTAAATTAACACATAGTAATTGTACATTAAAGTAGATACTTGGGCCGGCACTGTGGCGCAGTGGGTTGACACCCTGGCCTGAAGTGCCAGCATCCCATATGGGCGCCAGTTTGAGTCCCGACTGCTCCACTTCCGATCCAGCTCTCTGCTATGGCCTGGGATAGCAGTAGAAGATGGCCCAAGTCCTTGGGCCCCTGCACCCTCCTGGGAGACCTGGAAGAAACTCCTGGCTCCTGGCTTCAGTTTGACCCAGCTCCGGCCATTGCAGCCATTTGGGGAATGAACCAGCGGATAGAAGACCTCTCTCTCTCTCTCTCTTTCCCCCCTTCTGCTTTTCTGTAACTGCCTTTCAAATAAATAAATCTTTTTAAAAAATTATATATTTTCATTTTGTTTGAAAGGCAGAGTGAGATACAGAGAGAGGGAGAGAAATTTTTCTTTCATAGTTCGTCCTTTGGTATTATATTCAGAAGTCATTGCCAAACCCAAGGTCATGTAGGGTTCTTCTACGTCATTTTATAGTTTTGCATTTCACATTTTGTTCTATATATATTCATTTTGTAAAAGATGGAAGGTCTCTGTAGACTCATTTTTTGGTATGTTGGTATCCATTTGTTCTGTTACCATTCATCAAAAAGATTCTGCTAAACTGTGGTATTGTGCTTGCCTCTTTGTCAGAGATCAGTGTTCACTCTGCATGGCAGCAGGTGATGGCTCAAGTATTTGGGTTCCTGCTACACATGTAGGAGACCCAGATGGAGTTTTGGCACCTGGCCTCAGCCTGGCCTAGCCCCAGTTTGAGGGGTGAACCAGCGAATGAGAAATCTCTCAGTCTCTCTGTGTGTGTTTGTCTGCCTCTAAAGTAAAATAAATAAAAATTTTTATAAAGAATAATGAATTTCTGGAAGTGGGCAGAAGAATATAAATACAATAGGAAAGCAAACTTTTACTGCTTCGTTTTTAATTTAATTTATTTTTAATTTTTAAAAGGATTTTTTGATTTGAGAGAGTTACAGAGAAAGAGGCAGAGTTACCGAGAGAGAATCTTCCATCTACTGGTTCAATCCCCAGATGACCACATTGGCCAGCATTGAGCCAGGCTGAAGCAAGGAGCCAGGAGCTGGGTCTCCCACAATGGTTAAAGGGGCCCACGCACGGAGCCATCTTCTGCTGCTTTCCCTAGGCCATTAGCAGGGAGCTGGATTGGAAGTGGAGCAGCTGGAACATAAACTGTGCTTATTTGTGATGTTGGCATTGCAGGTGACAACTTTACCAACTATGCCACAATGATGGCCCCACTGCTGAATTTTTAAAATATTTTATTATTTCTTCTTATTTTATTTGAAAGGTAGACAAACAAATATTTTTTCCATCTACTGGTTCACTTCCCAGGTGACTGCAACAGCCAGTGATGAGCCAGGCTGAAGTCAGGAGCGTCCCACTCAATCTACATCTCCCACGTGGAAGGCAGGGACCCAAGTACTTGAGCCCTCACCTTCTGTCTCTCAGGGTGTGAATCTACAGGAAGCTGGAATCAGGGACTCGAATCCAGATGCTCTTATGGGTGATGCAGGTGTCCCAAGTGGCATTTCAAGTGCTACTCCAAATGTCCCCACTAGTTTAACTCCATTGTTCTGAAACTTTTTGGAAAAAGCAGGGTGACAGTGAGAGAGGGGGAGAAAAAGAGATGGGGAGAATGAGAATCTTCAACTGCTGGTTCACTCCCCAAATGCCCATAACAGCTGAGGGTGGGTCGAGTCAAAACCAGGAGTCAGCAGCTCCATCCCCATCTCCCACATGGATGGCAGGGACCCCTGTAGTTAAACCGTCATCTGCTACTTCCCAGGCACGATAGCAGGAAGCTGGATTGGAAGTGGAGATAGGACTTGATCCCAGGCGGACCAATATTGGATGGGTGCAGGCATCCCAAGCAGAGGCTTAACCTGCTGCACCTGTTAAGTGTTTTTATGTCTACAACATCAAATACTAGTTAAAGGGATATTTTAAGAATGTTTCTATTATATTTACACTTTTTATTGTTATATTTATTAGGGATATTTGTTTTGTGTCCTGAGGTATCAGATTTAGCCCCGTGAATTTCCATCAGAATGGGTTCATATGAGGAAAGTATTCCACCATTTTTGTGCCATATTTGAGTGGTGCCTTCCGTTTCCTATGGCTTGGTGGTGAGGTAAGTAGTGAAATTAGAGGCTTGTTCAAGTTCCTCTACCCCTGGAGAAAATCTCTCTTTAGTTTAAGCATGGTGCTACATTGCGCACTGCGTCTTATTCTTTTCCTCTTTTTCTGTCAGCAGATCTTCATGGAGGAACACGGAGTGACTCAGACTGAACACATGGCTACCATAGAAGCCCATGCAGTGGCCCAGCAAGTGCAGCAGGTCCATGTGGCCACCTACACTGAGCACAGCATGCTGAGTGCTGATGAAGACTCGCCTTCTTCCCCGGAAGATACCTCTTACGATGATTCAGACATACTCAACTCCACAGCAGCTGACGAGGTCACAGCCCACCTGGCTGCAGCAGGTAGTGTGGGATTAGACTCTTCTTGTTTTCTGGAATTTGTGGTAGCGTGCGTATGTGCTAGAGTTAAGGCTCGGGTGCTCGCACATCGATCTTCATCACAATTTTTTTTTTTAAGTCTTGTGTTTCCAACTTGAGTGAATATTATGCTGAGACTTCAAGTTCTGGAATCATTTCTGTTCTGTTAATGTTATGACTTTGACCATCTAACTTTTAAATGAAGCATTTCTTCCATTTACATGCGGTATAATGAATGATAGATTTAAATTTACCAACTTTATATGTGCTTTATCTTCCTATGCCTCACTCTGTGTTTACTTTTCCTTTGTATATTCTTTAAGAGTGATTGAAAAACTCATATATTTTCATATTTTTCTTGTTAGTTTGGGAGCTAACAATACTTTTACTATTAGTGGGACTCCTAGAGATTATAAAAGACATCATTCACTAATCATTCACTAATCAAAGTCTTACATACTTGGTGCTTCTGTTCTCCACACACAGAGATAATAGTAAATTTTTGGAATACTTGAGTTTCATTCCCCTGCTCCTGACCTATTGGTGTTCTGTGTAGTCATTCTTTGTTTATATTAAATAAGACATTGCTTTTGCTTTAGGGTGGGCCTTGCGATGCAGTGGTTAAGCCACCTCTTGGGATGCCTGCATCCTGTATTGGAGTGCTGGTTCTGGTCCTGGCTACTCTGCTTCTGATCTAGTTTTCTGCTAATGCTCCTGGGAGCCAGCAGGTCATGGCTCAAGTACTTGGGTTCCTTCCACCCAATTGGGAGATCCAGTTGGAGTTCCAGGCTCCTGGCTTTGGCCTGGCCCAGCCTAGGCTGTTAGCAGGAATTTGGAGAGTGAACCAGCAAATAGAAGATTTCTCTCTGTCTCTGTCTCTTTCTCCCCTTCTCTCCCTCTGCCTTTCAAAAAAATAAGCTTTTTTTTTTTTTAAAGATTCCATTTTGTATGTCCTTTAGCATATATCTGATAGGAGCAAATTCTGATTTCACTTGTCTGAGAATGTTTTTATTTAACCTTCAGTCTTTTTTTTTTTTTTTTAAGATTTTATTTATTTATTCGAAAGTCAGAGTTACACAGAGAGAGGAGAGGCAGAGAGAGAGAGAGAGAGGTCTTCCATCCAATGGTTCACCCCTGATTGGCCACAGTTGCCGGAGCTGCGCCGATCCAAAGCCAGAAGCCAGGAGCTTCCTCCAGGTCTCCCACGTGGGTGCAGGGGCACAAAGACTTGGGTCATCTTCCCCTGCTTTCCCAGGCCATAGCAGAGAGCTGGGCCAGAAGAGGAGCAGTCCATATTGGGATGCCAGTGCTTCAGGCCAGGGTGTTAACCTGCTGTGCCACAGCACCAGCCCCTAACCTTCAGTCTTGAAGGATGTTCTCACTGGGTGTGGAATTCTGGTTTGGTAATTATTTTTCTTTCTTGTTGAAGGCACCAGACTACCTTCTTCTAGGTTTCTTTGTTACTCTTGAGAATTCAGTTGTTTCATTCTGGCCTATGCTCCAATGAAGCTTGTTTCCCACATAGGCTCCTCCCCGCAACTGCTTTCAACATTCTTTATCATTAGTTTTTTTGACATATCTGGCTCTGATTTCTTCTCATTTATTCTGCTTTGGATTCTCTGGATATCTTGAATCTATGGATTGATGTCTTTAATCAATTCTGGGAAATCTGTCAGTAGATTTTGATTCAGGCTTTGTTTCTGCTCCATTCTTTTTTCCTTTGGTAACTCCATTTAAATTTGTATGTGTCATCCTTTTGTCTCTCGCTTTTGAAAAGATTTATTTATTTATTTATTTATTTATTTATTTATTTGAAAGGCAGAGTGACAGAGAGGGAGAGACACAGAGAGGGATCTTCCTTCTGCTGGTTCACTCCCCAAAAGACCACAACAGCTGGGCAGGGTCCAAGCTGAAGCAAGGAGCCACAAGCTCCACCCAGGTCTCCTACACAGGTGGTAGGAACTCAAGTACTTGGCCACTATTGACTGCCTCCCAGGCTCGTTAGCAGGAAGCTGGACCAGAATTGGAGGTGGGACTTGATCCTAGGCACTCTGATATTGAATATGATCATCCCAAGTGGCAGACTAACCTGCTAGGCCACACCTGTCCTGTCTTATCTCTTTATGCTTTGTTCTGTGTAATATCTTTGGATTGTTTTTCAGTTGATTAATTTTTCTGTTCAGCTGTGTCTGAGGTGCTTTAATCTATTCATTGAGTTACTAATTTTGGTAATCATTAATAGTTTGTTTCTTCCCCCCTATTTTAGAATTCTAGTGTGGTTCCCCCCCCCCCCCAATTTGCCTTGTAACAGTTTCCAGTTGTGGTGAAAAGCAAAACAGTTTTTTAAGTCTGCTTAGGTAAAACAAACATGCTTTTGCAGTCTGTGTGGTCATTTCTTCTCTGGTATACCAGTAGCATTAACACATTGTTACAGCCATTTCTTGTTCATGATGGCTGATCTCGTCATGTGCTGATTATATTTGAATGAATTGTGGATGGTTATCTGAGAAGTTATTTTTAGAAATAACTTGGGGTTTGGGCCGGTGCCACGGCTCAATAGGCTAATCCTCCACCTAGCGGCGCCAGCACACCGGGTTCTAGTCCCGGTCGGGGCGCCGGATTTTGTCCCGGTTGCCCCTCTTCCAGGCCAGCTCTCTGCTGTGGCCCAGGAGTGCAGTGGAGGATGGCCCAAGTGCTTGGGCCCTGCACCCCAATGGAGACCAGGAGAAGTACCTGGCTCCTGCCTTTGGATCAGCGCGGTGCACCGGCCGCAGCACGCCAGCCGTGGCGGCCATTGGAGGGTGAACCAATGGCAAAGGAAGACCTTTCTCTCTCTCTCTCTCTCTCACTATCCACTCTGCCTGTCAAAAAAAAACAAAAACAAAAACAAACAAAAACAAACAAAAAAAACAACTTGGGGTCTAGGATAATGTGCCTTTAGAGAAGGTTTCTGCTTGCTTCTGCCAGATGCCTGAGGCTACCAGCAAGCCGGGATCATCCTAATGCAGGTGAAGGTTGTGAAGGTTTTGAGATGGTCTGGACTACTAAATGACTACAGCAGAGCTGTCTTCTATCATTCTCTCTTATTCACATTTGTATTTATCATCATGGTGGTGTTAGACTGCCTGAAAACCTTTCCTGAATGGGTCTAGTGTTACGTAAGGAATATTCTTGATCTTAGAAGATATTTAGGAAAAGCTGGACATGAAATCAGTGACTAGTGATTGCCAAAATCCTTCATTTTTGAAGTAATCACTATATTCAAGGGTGAGAAGACAGGTGCAATGAAGAATACCCTTATTAATGTCAGTTTTTACCCACTGCATACTTCTGGAATTATGGGTTTAAAAAAATGAGAACCAGTGGCAAACCATGAACTATTTGGACAATATATTTTGTGAAATTCTTAGGCTTCCCAGAAGAGGGCACCCTAACATAATGAATCCAGGGCAGCTTCTTCCCTGTGAAGGAAGGGTGATGCTTCGCCACAAGGCTTTGCTGAATTGTTGTACTGCGTTGTCATGGTGTTGAGGGCAGGAAGGAGCTGTGGCCTGCCTGCTCCTGTGGCACGGGAGCAACTGACACTCAGCTGGTTGCAGTGACTTGCCAGGCCGTGCTGTCTGTATTGTGTAGATCCTGTGAGCAAGACAGCCAGGAACTTGTCCTGAAGGCACTTACAGGCCAGTTTGTGGGGAGGGGTGCAAATAGTACATACAATAATTTTAGCGGCCGGTGCCGCGGCTCAATAGGCTAATCCTCCACCTAGCGGCACCGGCACACCGGGTTCTAGTCCCGGTCGGGGCGCCGGATTCTGTCCTGGTTGCCCCTCTTCCAGGCCAGCTCTCTGCTGTGGCCAGGGAGTGCAGTGGAGGATGGCCCAAGTGCTTGGGCCCTGCACCCCATGGGAGACCAGGAGAAGTACCTGGCTCCTGCCATCGGATCAGCGCAGTGCGCCAGCCGCAGCACGCCAGCCGTGGCGGCCATTGGAGGGTGAATCAACGGCAAAAGGAAGACCTTTCTCTTTGTCTCTCTCTCTCACTGTCCACTCTGCCTGTCAAAAAATAAAAAAATAAAATAAAATAATTTTAGCAAGAACTGAACTGAATGCACTAAGAAAATGCTGAGAGGAGATCATGGAGAGGGTGCAGTTGCTGGTTTAGACTGAGTGAGCTGGGAAGGCTTCTCTGGGGAGAGCCTTGACTCACAGGCAATTAGGTGCCAGCCACGGGCAGCGACATGGAAGATGCAGATCAGAGAGGAAACAGGGAAAGCGAGGACTTGTAGATGGGAAATGGGAAGGAGATCAGTGTGTCTGGAGACTTGTGAGCCAGCAGAGAAAATGGTACAGGAGGCAGGCGTGAGTGAAACCACACAGAACATAGAGGCTGTGCGTAATAAGGGCTTTAGAGAGGCAACAGACAGCCATGGCTAGTTGCCCTCGCTTTGCTTGCCTTGTGTCTGAATCCAGACTTCACTTAGGACTAGCGAGAGGAGTTTTCGGAGGAGAATGTCTGTCCCATTCTCTGTATCTGAAAGGTAACCTTTCACTCCACCATGTTGCCATTCAGAAATGCATCTTTCTCTCCAGCCCCTGGTTAGTGTGGGCTTTCAGGGCAAAAAGTGTGGACGTAGTATGACAAAGGACAGTGGGGAGTGAAAACAAGATAGCCCTTTTCATATCTGTCACCAATAGGAATTTTAGAGGACTTCTTGTTAAGCAGAATTGAATTTATTCTTTTGTTTTCTTCAAAGTGATAAGGGATAGGGTAAAAAAAAAAGTGGAGAAAGATTCATATGGTCTACAAACATAATTAGTACTGACAGAGGCATTTTGTTGAGTTGTCCAGCAAGTTTAAATACTTTAATATCAGGGGCCATTGCTGTGGTGAAGTGGGTAAAGCCGCCACCTGCAGTGCCAGCATCCCATATGGGTGCCGGTTCTGGTCCCGGCTGCTCCACTTCCAATCCAGCTCTCTGTTATGGCC